TCGGATTTTGCTTACTTTAAAAGCGATCGGGGACACAGAGGTCACTTATGAGAGACCTTTGTTTTCGTTTTTCCGAGAAACCTGGGGGTTTTTTCCCGGAATTAGAAACGCTTACGAAGCAAATATCGAAAACGCTTACGAAGCAAATATCGAAAACGCCGACGATGCATATATTGAAAACGCTAACGAAGCCGTTCCCAAATACAACTGAGCTATTCACTTAATCAAGGGAAGGAAAAGTAAGAATCTTCTTAGCTCCATGGTCGTGTTATCAACTAATGATGTATTTGAAGAAAAATAGTGTCACAGCTGCTGAATAGCATCGAAAGTGTCGAAGGAATTACCCAGTCTGGTATGTCAAATTTATCAACAACATTTCTTTAGGGTAGCGTAGCATTTATTCATGAAATTTTGAATTGGCACAACGAAATCTCTTACGCGATGAAAAGTCCAGCCTTCACAAAAACAAAGACTCTTCCAGATCTAGATACGCTGCGGACATCGAGTGCATAGAAATGATTACATAGAGAAATAATTCAGTTAAATCTATCGATGATATAACATTCAATGGAAGTCGATCGATTCACTCTCAAGATTTCTCTTTGGCAGGATACGAAATCCAAACGATTTGCTGCGCTGAGAGTTGTCTTTTACAGGATTATGTAAGCCCTAACATAACTTAAGCAACGATTATAAGTATGAAAGTTGAACACTACATGATTATGACAGAGGAATAGAGTTGAAATATTGTACTTTCGCATCATATGTAAATCTTACGTGAACTAAACAGTTTTGCAATGATTTCCATTTTCTGCCTCGCCTTTTTCCTTCTATACTCGAAAAGTCTGATTATTCTGGATTCTAAAAAAAATTGTGTTTGTTCAATGAGATAATAAAAATTTCAAATCATGACACAGGTTTCGATCAGGGTAACCGTGTTTGAGGCCGAGACAAATAACGATCCAGAAGGCTTCTTGGCTCAGTAGAGCTCATGTTCTCTCGTGTAGAATGAGTCTTGAAAAGGACTATTTGAGTAGCTTAACCGTTTCATTTGTTTGAGCTTGTCAGGAACAATAACAAGGTGCAAATTAATTAAAGTCAATCGTTTGAACCATCTGCGTGACTACAAAATAATATATTATAATTAAATCGAGCAGGTATTAATTTGATCACTTCACCAAGCTTCAACGCGGTAAGATTATTTTGAATCGTACACGAAAACTATGAATCTTTGAACAAAAGACCAAACTTTGGGAAACATTCCAAAGCATTGTGATGGCTGATGAAATAATCACTGAAACATAACACGCACTGATTGCCATACATGTCAAAACTTGAATATAATAACTCGTCCGCTTGATTCGTTAAGGCAATGAGAATTATAAATTGTGGGTATCGCTGAATGCAATTTTGACTGTTCCCATATGGTTGCTTGCTTGTGCGGGCACTGGCATCGATTTGTCCTATTTGTCCATATTTACTCGAGTGATAGAGTGATCACGGGAACAAGAACGGATCAAGCTCGGGACTCGATCTCTTGTTACAAGCCATATTTTAGGACTTTTGTTGACCTTTGTCAGCAGAAATTTCAAATTTGCAGCGAAAGAAAAGGAGTAAGCAGAGAACTTTTCCCTTTACATTTCAGTTGTTCGTGACTATTACAGATATAAGGAAACCAACCGGCTACGATGGCGACCAAAAGCGACTTGGTGCATGAGAAAATCAAGGAACAAAAAGAGAATATTTGCAAAAATAGCCCGAATCTCTC